AAGCTCTGCTTTTGAATAACTATGGATAAAATCTGTTGAAACTGCAGAGTCTTAATTTTTGTAACTTTCATTTAGTTTTGAATAATTAAACGGAACTTGCATCTTGTCTTTTCTTTGACGATTAAGATCTTCTTTTTGTTCAACCTCGTCAGAAGATTTTGTAAATTTTACAGAATACTCGGGACCACAAAAAATATATTCAGAATTATATAAGGTCGGGGCATAACGTAAAGCTTTTTCTAAAAAATTAGGATTTTCATACCCCAGCCCTTCCCGAGGGTTAAAATATCTAGTTTCAGATGGTTTGTTTAGAAAAATGGTTTGATCGGTTTGTCATCTTTTGTATAAAATTTCTTCTTTAACCTTCAGAGTTTTATTTAATTGAATTATTTGTAAATCAAACTTACTTATTTTAACAACCTGTTCTTCATTAACTAATGCAAATGATTTATATTTTTCTTTAATTCAGATAATTCGGCTTTTAAAGCATTGGATGTTTCATCAAATAATTTGGACTCAGATTGCAAAGACTTAGCCCAATTCAAGTTTCAAGCATTTTCAATATATAATTTGGTATATTTTTCGTTTTACGTTTTTAATTGATCTTCAAAATTATTTGAACGCAATTTTTCTGATTTTAATTCTTGCTGGGAAGTTTGAATTTTAAGCATAATCTTTTTCATCTGCTTAATGCATGATTGATGTAATACCTCATCATTCATCTGTTCTTCTTCTTCACCTGACAAATCATTATCTGTTTTAGCCATCAAACACACATGTGCAACAGCTTCAGTTTCTTCTTCTTCGTCAGTCAGATTCAACCAGTGTTCATCCTCAGCCATAAGTGCTTTGCCGGCATCTCTTTGTTTGGACADAAGAAATTTATTCTTGTAGTAGTCGGTATCGCGATTTACCGGCTGCCTACAATTTATAGCAAAGTGGCCTAGCTTACCACAATTATAACACTTTGTGTTCTCATTAGCTGCACCTTTGGTAAAATTCTTCTTTTCTTCCGGTTTTTTCTCATATTTCTTCTCGAACCTCTTTTCTTCATATTTCTTCTTCTCGCCAAACTTGTCTTTGTATTCATATTTTGAGCCTGACGAGAATCTHTKRTTGTTCGAGTGTGGCCTTTTTGAGAACTTCTTCTGGAATGCTTTAGTCAGCATTACCATTGCCTATTTGATCTCTGACATTTCAAAATCTGAATCTGAGCTGTTACTATCTTCTGTTTCAGACTCACTTGATTGACTAGCTTCTTTTACTTGCTTTCCAGATCTGCTTTTTAATTTCTTTTCCTTTCTCTCATATACAAGAGCCAAAGGATCAGCAAATTCTTTTTCTTTCTTCTTTGCATTTCGGATTTCCAAAACATCTTGCTCATTTTGTTTCAGAGTTTCATAGATTTCATGAAAATCGATATCAGATAACTGTTTATTGAATCTGATATGATTGGCAAATGGTTTCCACTCTGACTGGAGATTGTTAAGGAACTTAACATTAATCTCTATT